ACAAGCGAAAAAGTTTTAAAAGTTTGAATTCGCGCGCTTTGACTCACCGGGCGGCCTAGAAAAAACCTCGACCCTAAGGGCTTTCAGCGTATTTTTCGAGGAAATTTCTCGCGGAAGGAATTTTTTATATTTTTTCTTTATTTTTATGTCAGTTATCGAGCTCGAATTAGTATAGCTAATAGCTATGAGGGTAACGCCCGGTTTTTTTAAGAGTTTTCTAGGTTTTTGTCAATTTTTCTTCCGATACATCGGAAAATTTGAAAAAACAGTGAAAACGAGCGAAAAAATTTTAAAAGTTTGAATTTGCGCGCTTTTACTCACCGGGCGGCCTAGAAAAAACCTCGTCCCTAAGGGTTTTCAGCGTATTTTTCGATGCGTTTTTCTCGATGAAGGAATTTTTTTGAATTTTTTCTTTATTTTTATGTCAATCTACATGCATTTCTGCACATTTTGATGCAATAAAAAATTTCACCGTACACCACCTTTAAGGATTTTAGCTATCAAGGATGTTAGTCGTTAAGGATGCTAGTTATCAAGGAAGCTGTTAAGGATGTTAGATATTGAGAATTATAGCTATTAAGGATATCCTCTTATTTCAGACCTACACCCTGTCGGCCTTCTCCTTCCCAGTAGGACTCCTCCTGTTCACCCGTGTCATTCTAAACCGTCGCCGTCAAAACATCAAAACGATGAGAAACCAAACAGAAACTATCGATTCGCACTTCGAGAAATTGGGAAAGGAATGGGGATGCTCACCACCAACCCGCAAAATTACTCCAGTGGAGAAGTGAAGGGTGTGGCAATTTCGCTCTATTGGACTGGTTGGGATTTTGCATGCCCTCTCTGCTTATTCCCATTTCTATCGTAATCTCATTCTCATATAACCTGCCTGTATCATAACCTAACATCTGGTATCGTAACTTTTTTTTGTTCCTCCATTCAAAATTCCCCATCTTCCACCCCCAAATCCATAATTCCACATTTTCTAAAATAAAGATCCGTTTCAAACTTCAAACTACAAAAATTCAGACGTAAGGGACCATGATTTCCGACTAGTGAACAACAAGCATCACCTTGTTGTCTGTCTGGAAGTGTTGTAACGCCCATTGTAGGCGTTACCTCGCCTATCATGAGGTACAATTTGTTTACCGGAATCCTTTGGGGGTTCGAAGGTTTTTGGAATCTCTTTTTGAAGTTTTTTTTTCTTCGTTGAGGTATTCAGCGTACCGGGAAGTTTTTCTTCTTTGTGTCCCTTTGATTTCGATTATAATCACGAGACCTGGAACTAAACCTAACGTAGACTGACTTCTGATTTTGTTTCTGTCTAGACTATCAGTTTCTTATAAGGCGAGTTTTCCAGGAAATTGGGATATTAATAGTCGCACCACGTCTATATAAAACATACGAACAATTCTACCAGTTTTGAACCAATTCTGAAATTATACAATGTTTCAACTGTGTTAGCCAACAAGCTCTCCCTAACAATTGAATTCATGTTTGATGAACCTCCAAACTTTAAACTTTGGCCCAATTTATCTCGGTTTCTGTTAGAGATATCAAGAAGCGGTCAACTGATAAAATGTTTAAAATGTTATGATAAAGGTTTGATCAGTTGACAGTTTTTTGATATCTGTCACAAAAACCGAAATAAATTGGGTCAAAGAGAAACAGGGTTTTTTATGAAGTTTTTATACCAGAAATATGCCAAGAATGATGAAAAGCGCTTGAATGTTCCCACTGTTTTCACTAATTTTTACCCTGTTTTTTTCCTATTATTTTCTTATCGATAAGGAATCATTTCCCCTTTTTTTTTTAATATTTTGAATTGTTGCACACCTAATTGTATACGGCCGAGCTACGCGGTCCTCGCCGTCCGACCGATGATGTGTACCTTGAAAAAGAACTATTACAATTCAACGCAATTTTTCTCGGCCCCTGTAAAAGATATCAAAAAGTGATAAACTGACAAAATGTTTAACATTTCATGATTAACATTTTACTAGTTTGCCATTTTTTAGTATCTTTTAAAGGAATCGAGATAAATTAGTATAAAATTTAAGGTAATTTTTTTTCTAATTTGAGAACCCTTACTTTGACCCAATTTATCTCGGTCCCTGTGAGTTATATCAAAAAGTGGTCAACTAAGAAAATGTGGCAAATATCATAATAAACATTTTATCAGTTGGTAAATTCTTGGTATCTTCTACAGAAACCGAAATAAATTGACTCGAAGTATAAGTTTTCCTTCACCGATTTCTCATTTGAAAGAACATGTTTCATATGTATGACTCATTCATAATTCGTCATGAATTTTATATAAAAATGATTAATCATCATTTTATCAATTTCTATAGATCTCTGAATTTCCCCATGATGGTATTCCCTAGGCTCCGCGAACGCTTATTTTTTGTTTTCTTAAAAAACCGTCTTCTAGAATTTTTCTCCGTCAACTTCACAGTTAGATTCACTATCGGAATTTTAAATTTTTCAGAATTACGAAAAGCCAAAAAATGAATTATTCAAATTTCGCGCCATTCATTACTTTTGGAAATTCGTGTGCATCACCATTTGAAATCGAACAGAGAACGTCTTCTGGATCTCGTCTGAATGTTTATATCAATAATTTTATAATAATTTTGACTTTTATCATGTTGAATATGGTAAGAATGGGGAAAGAATGAACAAAACATTTCTGAATTTTTTCTCAGATTTCAGCCAAAACTGAAACTTCTGAAAATTTCCAGGCAATTCGAAAAATGCTTACCAAACAATTATTCAGTAAAACGACGAGAAATCTTTTATTCTATTGTATGTTTTATTATGTACTACATGACATTTATTTTGCCTACACCATGGTAAGCTACAGTAATCCAAATCTACAGTAATCTAAAATTTTTATTCTTTTTAGAATTGGTCCTTCTACCGATCCATAGCGGAATCTGAGGATTCGTGTCGAATCATGTTCCATGGATCCGAATGTTTCTTTTTGTATTTAATTGGAGTATTTTTGAGAGTTTTATTGTTGTATTCACAGTGTGCGGTTACTGTAGAAAGGTGGGGGAGCTTCAGGAGATTCTAAGATTCTGAGATTCTGAGATTCTGGGATTCTGGGATTCTGAGATTCTGGGATTCTGGAATTCTAAAATTCTGAAATTCTGAAGTTCAAAATATAAAATTTTGAAATTCTGAAATTCTGAAGTGCAAAATCTGAAATTCTGAAATTCTGAAATTCTGATATTCTGATATTCTGAAATCCTGAAACTCTGAAATTTAAAATTTGAAAGTTAAAAAACTCACAAATTTAGAGAAATTGGAATAAGTTCAAATTCAGAAAGTCTGGAAACCCAGAGTATGGAGAAATCTAGACCTTTAAAAAAAGTTCAAAAGTTTCGAAATTCGAAAATTTCGAAAATATTAAAAACTCAGAATTTCAAAAATTCCAAAACTCTAAGAACCAACCAATGTTTCACAGACTCGTCATCACATTTTTCCCAAATTCGGACCTCATCAATTCTGTCACTTTGAACATAATGACTCTGATCATATCAGTTATCACCACTAGTACAATTCGTCCACATTCTCATTCTCAATTCAACAGTCCGAATTGCTTTCAACAAATTTTTCCAGGAATGAAGACTATTCGGTGGGTAAGCAAGATGCTGAACATGCGCTCTAATGAGAAATTTTTTGATTTTTTGAAAAATTTAATATCAAAATTTCAATTTGGACTTACCAATTATTTTTTATCGACTTTTTCTCGTTTCTTTTGCAGTTTTTTTTAAAAAGTAAACAGTTAGAAAAATTTCAGAACCCTTATCTGGATTATGGTTGCATTTAATATGTTTTGTTTTCCTGTTAACACTATGATAATGTTAAGAAATCGAAGAAAATTCAAAAATTTACAAGAGTGAGTTTTTTAAGCTCAATTATCTCAGTTTCCGTGAGTGATATCGAAATTCTGTTAACTGATAAAATGATGCTGATAATATGATAAACATTATAATAGTTTACAAATCTTTGGTATCTCTTAAGGAAGCCAAGAAATCTAGCTAAAGTGTAAAGGCCCCATCATCGATCGACAGCCGACGACCGCGTAGCTATCTTGAATTATCTTTGACCCAATTTATCTCGGTTCCTGGGAAAGATATCAAAAATTAATTAACTGATAAAATGTACAAAATATTCTGATAAATATTTTATGAGTTAACAGGTTTTTGATATCTCTTATTGGAATCGAGACGAATGAGCTCAAAGTGAACTGACCCATTAGAGTTTCCAGGGCCATCTTTTTAGAAAATGTAGGCCACCATGTACAACATTTTCAGCCGTGAATACAATTTAAAGTCTCGATATAACAATAAATCGAATATGTATGCTTCAATGGCTGTATCATTTCTCTCATTTGTACAAAGTTCGATTTATACATTTTATATTTTTGCATTATTTTTGACTTTGAAATTTTTCACAACTGAGGATGGATTGTTTTATGGAAATAATTTGATACTTTGGTTCTATGTGAGTTTTTGCAAAATCCTCAAAGTTAAAAAAAACCCAAAATTTTCGAAAGTTCCAAAAATTTCAAAAAACTCATTCAATTTTTCTTTTTTTTTTGAATTGTTGATTTTTCGTTTTCTGATTTTCTGATTTCCAGAATTTGGAATTTTTTATGTATTATCAAAAAACCCCAAAAAAGGAAATTCCGAATTTTTTCAGAGTTTCCCTCTCGCTGGTCTTGCTCTTCCATGTTCTATTCTCTTATCATATTGTGGTTTGAATTTGAAGAAAAGAAACAAAATTGGGATTTTCAAAATTACAACACAAGATTCTTATTTTAAAAGTTTGACTAATCAGTGGATGTCCACTTCCAGAACGTCCATTGCTCATTGATTTAACGTACATCATTTTTGATTAAAGTTAATTGCTCCATTAGGTCTGTTTATGATTATAAAGTTTTTTTTTCCGAACTTTTGTATTTTTGGATTTTATAAAAACATTTTTCAGAATAGGAAAACTTTGACATCTACATTTTATGAATTTCAAAACTTTGAATTCTGAGAAATTCTTGTTTTCGTGATCAGAAGATTTTTGTTTCGTGTTTTAATAAATACTTTCGCTGTTGACCTAACAAAAAATGTCACAGGAGAAATATTTTTCCACTTCAACACTTTTTTTCAATAAAAATTACAAAAAAAATGTTATTTGGTTAAATCGAAAAATTCTGATGAAGCACATTTGTACTTTTCTGTTTGATCTTTCCAATTGTTAAAAATTTTTCTCAAAATAATCAGACCGGACACTAATTTGTGATTTTTTGTGATTTTTGAAAGTTCAGACCAAAATTAACATTTCTTTATTTTTCAAAAAGTGAGTAATATCTTGACAAAAGATTTTGTGATATTTTTCTGAAGTTATGATTTTTCATCAGTCCTAAAACATGGGTTTTCTGAAATATAGTTGTATTTTTCGAATCTGTTTGTTTTTGAAATTCTAAGAAATTCTCTATTTTAAGACAGGTTCTCTGTAGGACTCAACTTCAAGCCTATTGTTCACTCCTACAGAAAATCTCAAAGAAGTTTTTATGCATTGATATTATATATCACGAAAGTTGGGACACTTTTAAGATAAAAAATGTACATTTGATTCCGATCCACCTGATTCCGACCCACATACGGCCCAAACGGTGACCAAATTTGGTCAAAAAATGAAAATTTTCTCGGTGAAGATAATAATTATATTCAACATGGAATGGATTATACTTGCTATGTTGAACATTTTTTGTATTAAAACAAAAATTCTAACTCGTTTCCTTTCAGCTGAACATTTTGATTTTAGTTCAAATGTTGACAAAAATCACTGAAAATCGGTCGTCGTGAAAAATGTTAACATTAGTGCAAAAAAGTTAACACCAGATTCAGATTTAGCGTAGGAAAGAGCTTTAGAAAATGTTTGTTTCAAATTTAACATCCTGAGCACAAGGCGAGTTTTAGGTCAAAACGTGCCCAAAATTGAGGTTTCACCATGGCAACAAAAATTCGTCCAAAATCGACCATCTCCAATTTTGACCAAATGTTTATCAGATACATTATTTTTTATGGGTAGCATTCTGGCAAAGTTTCAGATTTCGTTCTCATCGTCTCCGTGCATTTTGAAGCTCGTAGTCTTTCACTGAAAATGGACTTGGAAGCAATTTTTCCTCGTTTTTTTGAAGCTTCTGAAAATACACGAAGAAGATGAGAACAGATTATGAAATTTTTGCCAGAATGTCACCCATAAAAAATAATGCATCTGGTAAAAATTTGGTCAAAATTGGAGATGGTCGATTTTGGACGAATTTTTGTTTCCATGTACTCCCCCACATGGTGAAACCCCAATTTTGGGCACGTTTCGACCTATAACTCGCCTTGTGCTCAGGATGTTAAATTTGAAACAAACATTTTCTAAAGTTATTTCCTACGCTAAATCTGAATCTGGTGTTAACTTTTTTGCACTAATGTAAAAAATTTTCACGACGACAGATTTTCAGTTTTTGTCAACATTGGAAATAAAATCAAAATTTCAAACTGAAAGGAAACGAGTTAGAATTTTTGTTTCGACACAAAAAATGTTGGAAATAGCAAGTATAATCCATTCCATGTTGAATATAATCATTATCTCCACCGAGAAAATTTTCTTTTTTTGACCAAATTTTGTCACCGTTTGGACCGTACTGCGTGGGTCGGAACCAAATGTACATTTTTATCTTAAAAGTGTCCCAACTTTTATAATATATAATATCAATGCATAAAAACTAGTTTGAATTTTTCTGTACAACTGTTTTAAAAGCTACATTGGTTTATTGAACGATATAGAATGATACAATAGAGGGGCTTTTATACTGGTTACATGATATAGAATTTAATAAAAGAAAGTGATTGCGGGGGATGCAATGCACATTCCCCGGTGAATCACCATCAGAAGAGTGCGATTTAGAACACTCCCGGCTTTAGAGAAAAGAAGACACAACGAAATTAAAAATTAGTTGTCCATTGGTCCAATTGACACTGAAGAACTGAGTGACTACGTCTTCGGCGTCCACTCGCCTCTTGTAGTACTGTTCTGCGTCACGTCGTTAGTGTCTTTTCTCGTATCGTCTTGGCGAGCGTTCGAAGGTGTGACATCTACGGGGTCCATGATTCTACTGGATACGTCTCGTAATGTCGTTAACGTCGCGTCTTTGTGATCTAACACCTCGGTGGTCTAGCATGAAAGATCAAAATCTCTCGTTGGAGAGAGGCTCCGGGCGGGAAAAGCGTCCTCGTCGGTCCACTTTTAATTGGAGCAAGAAGTTAAGTTCTTCTTCGTTGTTGCTTATCATAAAAATAAGACTTACGGTTTGAACAATCCAAATTGTTCGGAGGTGAGCTGCAAGCTCGGGTGCAACTGATATCTGACGTGCTACGACCGCTGTCGTATAGCTTTCTTGTCCTCGTTCAGATGCGCCAAATTTGATCGTCCTCATCAAGTCCCGACCACTTTGTTCGAATGACTTAGACCTGCTAATCCTGTGTCCACCAGCTCCCCAAGTCTCAAGTATGCCAATGAATTTGTTGACTATATCAGGTGCTGCCAATCATCTGGTACTGCATGCCGCTTGCGATATTCCAACAGCGAATAATAGGAGAATAGAGGTACCAATGTAGAATCCTGCCACGCGGGTTTTTGAGCGACCGGGGTTTTCAACCCACGATGCACCATGTTTTAAAACTACATTGGTTTATTGAACGATATAGAATGATAGAATAGAGGGGCTTTTATACTGGTTACATGATAAAGAATTTAATAAAAGAAAGTGATTGCGGTGGATGCAATGCACATTCCCCGGTGAATCACCATCAGAAGAGTGCGATTTAGCACAACAACACTATTTTCGATTCTCACAGAGAATGCGTCTTAATATCAAAACACACTAGTTTCTCGTATTTTTTCTCTGATTTCTGATTTTCTTTTTGTGCCAGTTATTTTTCTATAATTTTAATCATATATATGAGGAAATGAAAATATGAGTAGAAAACAATGGAAAACTAATCTTCAGAAAAAAATAGCTGGAAAATTTCGGAAAACCCTAAAGCTAAAATTATCGGAATATCAGATATCTAGAAAAATTATTTGAAATTTCAGATAATCAGAAATTCCAAAGTCTTGAATCTGAAAAAAATTAATTCAGAAAAATTCAGAAATTTGAAAAACCAGATTTTCGGAAAAAAATTGTTTTCGGTGAAAAATTCTAGATAACATCTCTAATTTGCTTTTTTGTCTTCCTTTTAACTTTTTCTTTACAAGAAAGTATATTTTTCTTTTTTTTTTTCGTTTTTTTTTTTGGTTTTTTGGTTTTTCAAAAAAATTTCTCAAATTTCAGAATAATAATGATAAGAATCTACCCAGAAGAAATAATTTTTCAAATTCGAAAATCGACAAGTTTCAGACTTAGCGTTTTTTTGTAGATGTTTTGAGTTTCTTTGCAGTAATAATAACACATTTTGTATGTTTTTTTTTCAGACAAATTTTTATAATTGTTCAGAAAAATCCGAATTTTCAGACAATTTCGAAATTATGCAAAAAACAAATATTCAATGCTTCCACTACAACATTATTGATTTTCAATGTTTCTCTGGTTAATATTCATAATATTTCTTATGCTTTTTTACAGGTAAGAAATGTGAAAATCTGAAATTTATGAGTTTTCTGAAATTCCAATTCAGTCAAATATTGTATTTTCAAAATGAAAAAAATTCTAGAGTTTGAAAAATCCCGATGTCCATAGAATCTTCCAGAACTGGTCATTTTACCGTTCGTTCTTCACTAAAATCGACGATATAATTTTCGAATCTGAAGAATGTTGGCCTTATCACACCACCAATGAATTCACAAAAGTTATCACATTCGTCGTTCAATTTTCTCTAATCCTCAACAGAATCTTAGTTACCATAAATCCCGAAAAATACTCAAAATCTCCCTATGGAACACTTTTATGTATTTTAACACTGGTCGCCGGTTGTCTATTCACTATTCAACAATATTCTGAAGGACCAACGCGTGGAATGATGACTGCAAGTTGTTCCAGAGAGTCTGATGTAGTGTAGGACCTGAAGAAGTGAGTGTAAAAAAAAGCAAAAAGATCCTGGAGGTATGGGGAATTGAACCCCAGCCCTCTCCCATGCTAAGGGAGCGCTCTACCACTGAGCTATACCCCCGCACGATCCCCTAAGTGAGAATTGCGTAGACAGGAGGGCGGTGGGCCGAGTGGCGGCGGTAAATAATGGCGTCATAATTTGAAAACAAATTTCAGGGAATACATTGTCCCATATATCACAATTTGCATGTTTTCCATTTTCTGCTCTTTGACGTTGATTTGTTATGTCAAAAGAACTTCTGGAAAGTTAGTTTTTGTTAAATTTTACCCCAAAATCGCAGAAATTTCCAGAAAAACTTTTGATATGATGTTGGAATATACAAGAAGAGAGTCTATGATTTCTACAACTGCCGTCACGATAATTGGTACTATTCAATTGCTCAACTACTCTTTTTATGCTTTATTCTCGCGAGTATTGCACACCTGGCCGAGAAAAACCCTAATCCACATGATACAAACGTGATTGGATGGTTTTATGTAGGTGGCCTAGAAAAAGCAAGGCCATCATTTTTTCAAATTTCAGACTGGACCATTCAACGTTTTGATCTCGCCGTCTGCGGTATTGGTGTATATTGTTTGGATTCGAAAAAATCGAAAAATGGAAATTGAGAAATTGACAAAATCTGAAATTAACCATTTTCAGCAATTATCAAATATGTGGAAATGAAAATTTTAGAATTTCGAGACATCTGGATTTACAGATTTACAGACAGATAAAAAATCAGAAATTCAGAAATCCAGAATCTCAGAATCTCAGAACCACAGAATCTCAGAACCACAGAATCTCGGAATCTCAGAATCTCAGAATCTCATAATCTCAGAATCTCAGAATCTCAGAACCACAGAACCACAGAATCTCAGAATCTCAAAATCTCAGAATCCTCCGGAACTTCAGAATTTCAAAATTCAAGAATCTCAAAAGTTTGGAATCTCAGAATTCCAAAATCTCAATATCTCAGAATTTCAGAATCTCAAAATCCCAGATACTCGGAATCTCAAAAATTCGGAAATTCAGAAAGTGAGAATTTTCGAATTATTCAAATTCCAAATTTTGGAAATATTCAGAAATCCCAAACTTTCCAATTTCTCCAATCACTAATTCTCGTCTGACCACCCTGAATAGATCAGTTTCCAATTCTCTGCGTCTCTTCACAAAAATCTCTCTTTCTTTGAATTTTCTGTCCCCAAATGTCCTCCAAATGGACACAATTGTGTCGGTTGAGAAATAATGATGACATTTTTCTAACTATAAAATCAACAAATAAATTGAAAAATCTCTCCAAAGTTTTGGAAATGTTTCATCCGGAAATCGTTCTGATTTTGTTGATTTTTTCTATAGATTCTCTAGTTTTGACAAAAGAAAGTTGTCCAAAAAATACGTTTTGTTTTGCTGGACAACAAAAAAATATAACTGCGACCTGTATTGATAATAAAGTTATCAGTTTGAAATGGAATACAACTGAAGACAAATCAACTGTGAGAATTTGGAATAATGTGAGATTTTGAATTCAAAAAATTAGGGAAACAATTCTGAAATTTCTAGACTTCGAGAATTCAGAAACATCGAGAAACTTCAAAAATTGATAAGTTTCGAAAATTCAGAAATTCAGAAACCCACAAATTCAGAAATTCGGACATTCGAATTTTCCAGATAATTCAATAGTGGAAAGTTTTAAAATTCGGAAAATTCTGATATCAATTTTTTGATTTCAGATTTTTCAAAATTAGTTTAAAATTCCAGACAATTGTGAAACTCGAATTGTTTTAAAGGTGGTGTACGGTGAAATTTTTTATTGCATCAAAATGTGCAGAAATGCATGTAGATTGACATAAAAATAAAGAAAAAGTTCAAAAAAATTCCTTCATCGAGAAAAACGCATCGAAAAATACGCTGAAAGCCCTTAGGGACGAGGTTTTTTTAGGCCACCCGGTGAGTAAAAGCGCGCGAATTCAAACTTTTAAAATTTTTTCACTCGTTTTCACTGTTTTTTCAAATTTTCCGAT